CTGTTGCATATAGTATTAGAAAAAAAAGACCAAAACTCAAAAACTTAACTTTGACCACTGAACCGTGAAAATGAGGTCAAGGTCAGATGACACCTACCAGCTCGACATGTACACCTTACAATCATTCCATATACCAAATATAGTAGACCTACTGCTTATAGTATCTGATATATGGACTTGACCACGAAAACTTAATCTTGTTCACTGATCCATGAAATGAGGTCGAGGTCAAATGAAAATTGTCTGAGGGGCATGAGGACCTTGCAAGGTACGCACATACTAAATATAGTTATCCTATTACTCATAATAATAGAGAAATTAACATTACAAAAAATGTTGACTTTTTTTTCAAGTAGTCACTGAACCATGAAAATGAGGTCAATGACAATGGACATATAATAGACGGAAACTTTCGTAACATAAGGCATCTATATACAAAGTATGAAGCATCCAGGTCTTCTAGCTTCTAAAATATAAAGCTTTTAAGAAGTTAGCTAACGCCGCCGCCGCCGGATCACTATCCCTATGTCGATCTTTCTGCGACAAAATTCGCAGACTGACAAAAATCCTTTAAAATGTCTTTGTGTTTAAAGAGTAAAGATCCAAGAACAACAAATGAATATACTAATGATATACCACACCAAACGACATATATACAAGCTTGATTTTTAATCAAATGTTCCCTCTTCCCAACCCTCACATAACAAAAAAAAAACATGTGCATGATTTGATTTGCAGCAGGCCAAGTTTACGAGCATATTCCATATACGCCAGGGAATTACAATCTTACGACTTTTCAAGATGCACCAGAGGGTTGCATCCTGTTCTGCAAATCATGTTCTGCTAAAATTAGATGCATGTACTGAAATAGTAAATACAGAAATTCCTAAATACATATGTCGTTTGTGATGGCATACATTAATTTTTTTAGTAAATAAATGAAAAAAGCAGGTATAGAATAAACATTGAAATCACATTAACATGCAGTATACAGTTTAGCATGAAAAAATACATAATAGTTTGCAAATTCAATTAAATACTCAATAAAGAAAAGAAAAAGGAAATAGAGAAAGTCTGGAAAATTGTGCAAATATCCCTTTCTCTTCAAAGTTCTTGACTATTGCCATTTTTACATTTCATTGGTAATCCTACAAAAAAGTAAAATAATGTAAGTAGTTAGTAATATTGTTACACAATTAAAAGCAGTAGAACACACATTTAAATGTTTACTATATACATTAACATATAGTGCTATAGATATGAAAACTTTATGTGTCTTTATTTGCTTGTGTTTTTTTATCATTTCATTTTTTCATCCTTTGTTTGTGTTCTGTTTATGTTTATGGATCCCATGAATCTTTGAACGGGAACAAAATCTATGTTCTCGGTCAAATTTTGAATTACAGTTTCAGACTCAAAAAGATGTATTCAAGGGTTATATATGTACACCATAGTGGCTTCAAATTTTTTTCTTTTTATAAAACTTTTATTAAGATAAAAGTTTTTTTTATATCCTTTATGGTCGATTTTGGTTTCCATATTTATCTTTATCTATAAAATTCATTTATTTATCTTTTAAATCCATTAATTTCGATGAGTTTTTAAGCACATCTTTAACAATCTGTATATGTTCGTGGATGTTTTCCACTGTATTTATAATTCTCCAGGTTATTTGTAAAAAAAAAATACACATGCAATTGTTATTTCAAAAGGGACAAAGGTGGCTTGTAGTATGATATGTTGCATTTCCATTGACACTTAGTATATAGTGAATTGGTATGTACACATGCAACAGTAAGATTATAAGTCTAAAGAAGAAAATTATAATTAAAACAAATAATAAAATGCAGAGACATTTTCTATGAATCATACATTGTGTAATACTCTTACAGATCAATGGCAAAATTATCAACACTTACCAGCGTACATCCCAGTTCCTTTAATCTTCTTACCAGTGACGGATTGTGTGTTCTCATTGTAGATGGCTTTGTTCAATGTTCTGAGTTTCCCCGTCTGAGCAGTGATAATATTTTGCCACGTGTTTTTTTTCGCATGCTAACTTATTTTTAGCTTCCTGTTTTGTATCATTTTTACCGTTAATCCGCTCCAGTTCTTGTCGAATATTTGACATTCGTACAGTTTTGTTAGTCCAACCGCGAAATCAGACCTACAAGTTTAAGGGGAAGTTTAAAAGAATACAAAATATAAAGGAGTTTGTTTGCAGTATGACTAAACTTGTCACTTTAATGGCGAGTCAAACTAAAAATTTATTTACACGATTGCCAACATAGTTTGCTCAATTGTTTGTTTGTCTTTATGAATGAAACACTGTCAAATAAATGAATAGCTATTTAAATTCTAAGAAGAAGTGATTTAAGATAGTTTAATCTGGAACTAGTATACTAACGTCAATATATTATATCGGGTACGCTAGTGAATAAAAGTTTTAATATACCAATATCTATTTAACGTTTGCGATTGAAAAACCAAACTCAAACAAAATATTGAAAACCACGAAGGTTCGTAATATTTAAAAAAAGTAGTTCCAGACTGAACAAATTATTAGTAGCATGCTAAACTCTCGTTAAATCTTAATTTTAGTTGCTTGAAACTATGTTCTAAAGCAACTATGTATCTGTTTTATGCGGGTCTGGATGGTGGTCCTTCATTTCTGTATTCTTTAATTTTTTTCTCTGTTCTTTTTTCTTTTTGTCAATTAGTCTCTTTTCTTTATATTTTAGTATCTCATTATTCTCTATTCTTTATTTTTCTATTCCATTTTTTTCTATTCTTTATATCTTTTGCCCATTATTCTCTATTCTGTAAACCCCCATCCACACCCTTTTGTATTTTGTATCTAATAACTTACCAGTCATTTCTTCAGTAGACATATCAATTTGCCACTGTCCATGGTCTGTAACTTTTTTTACAATTCTCATCTACATCTGCATCTACATCGTACGACGATCCATCAGCACATTGATGACTATACGTCGGCGCATCGCAAACAGACACTAATTAAAAGATAACAATTTTAAGAGTGCAATAATCAAAAATAAGGTTGTGCAAAAATAAAAATAAACACATTTACATATATATACAAACAGGGTAGATATTTAAATATACTGACTTTGGATCAGTATTTTACACTGATCCAAAGAGTTGACACTGATGATGTTTTGTGGAAGTGAATTCCAAAGTACAACTGTGTATGGGAAAAAGCTGTACTTAAAGTAATCTGTTCTGCTGTTGAATGTTTGATATTGTAGTGAATTTGTGAATCTGGTGTTTTTGACTGGCTGTGGTGAAAGGTAAAGGTTTGGGTCTACTGCTATAAGGTGGTGTGTGATTTTATACATCATTGTTACTCGGTTGATGTTTCTACGAGTTTCTAGTGACTTCCATTTAAGATGGTCAGTCATGGAAGTGACACTACTGGTGTTGTGGTGACGTAGCGTGCTGCCCTTCTCTGTACTTTTTCGATGTTGTTTTTTTTTGTTTTTGGGTGTTGGGAGACCAAACTGAAGAGCAGTATTCTAGGTTTGAACGTACCTTAGATTCATAAGCCAAACTTTTTGTTTCTTTTTGGTTTCTTTTTAGGTTTCTTTTTAAAAAGCCCAAGATCTTATTTGCTTTAGCTGTAATGTTGTTTATATGAGTATCCCAAGACATGTTGTTGGATAAGGTGATACCAAGATATTTTGCTGTGTTGACGGATTCTAAAATGTGGCCTTTAAGTATATAGTTATGTTTGTATAGTGACTGTGGTCTTGTTACAGTAAGTGAATTGCATTTTTCTGGGTGAAATTGCATACCCCAAGTCTGTTCCCATTTGGCTAGGCAGTCTAGGTCATTTTGTAGGATGTTACAATCTTGCTGATTTTTAATTGCATCTCTGCAAATATACCAAATTGAAACGTGTAACAGAAATAAAAAGTCAGAACAATATAATTATTGTCTTATGACAGTATTGTCTGATTTCTTTGATCGATGTAGTTTTTTTATTCGTTGATGATAGATAACACCCCGCATCTTAGTTCTTCGAGGCACTTATGTTCAAATGTTCACATTTAGCAAAGAACTTCATGTACTAATAGCGTGTTAGGTTCCTTCTTAAACTTCGATAGGGTATATGAGCCTTTTCTACTTATTGAAGGCCTAACTGTTCAATGAGGAATGAGGAACGACAATAAAGTGGCTGTTCCCACTCTTAAGGTTTCATCAAGTGTGTTTAAAGATTTTGGCAATTAAAACGTCACGTATCCTTTCTTTTCAACTACAATCATAAAACTATATTCTAGTCTTACAAACCTTTCAGCAACTTTGAGTAGATCAACTGTTCCTTTATAAGGGTAAATATGAAATACGTTGCCAGGATACAGAGCACATGCTGTAATTTGTCAAAAAACACTGGAGCTGTAGAAAAGAAATGGAAAATGTAAAAAAAAATATTACTAATACATTAGGCGACACAATGGTTTGTTTTTCTAGGTTTTTCAAAATGTAATTATTTATCAAGGAAAATTTAGCAAAAATCATATTTATCAAGAAAACAGTACTCATATATCGTAATAAGTCTATGATTATGATAAATTCACTCTTGTTGGATTGTCTAAATTCTGTAAAATTATAATGTCAATATTTAAGTGATATTTACCTTCCTGGATAATTCTGTACATGTACATATGTTTAATTTTGTGCATGCATTATATTTGTTATATTGTATTGTTTGTACTATCGTGCCTCATGTGAGGCCTTTAGTGAAGTAAAAAGTTTCAAGTTTCAAAAGGTTGAAATTAGGTTATTTACTAGTACTTAAAAGTATATACTCTTACCTAGACACTTCCCATTTAATCACTGAACGTACATCTTCTTTCTTGGTGACATCTTAAAAACGTTACTATAAGATGGTAACGTTTACATCATAAACAAGGCGCCGACAGTAACGCCACCAACGTCAAATATACTTCTTTAAATAAATAAATAAATAAATAAATAAATAAATAAATAATCTTTATTTCAAGAGGATAATCCCATTAGTTAAAACTAATCTTCCTGAGAGTCCTCAAAATAATAATAACATATTTATAAGTACATACAGTATTATAATGATATATTATACACAATATACAATTGTATCTAGATAATAATAAAAAAGCATATTAATTTGCACAATTGATGAAAAATTTGTAACATTTTGTTTTAAAAGATACAAGTGTATTACTCATTTTTATTTCATTTGGTAAACTGTTCCATTTTTGAGAACCTGAATATGTAAATGTTTTCTTTAAAAAGTTTGTTTTTGGTTTCGGAAGATTTAATAGTTTTTCATCACCTGAACGTAAATTATAATTCTGATTACCAATAAAATGAAAGTTTTCTTGTAAATAGTTAGGAATCATATCATTTAATGATTTAAATACAAGTATTGCCTTTTGATAATATGAAAAAACTCTAAGACTTGTTTATGAAGATTCACAAATTTCATGAGGTTTGACAAAGTAAAAAAAACCTATTCATTGTGGTTGACATGATTTTAAACTTTAGATATAAGTGATGAGAAATATTAATGATAAGAAACCTTTATCTTAAATCTTAGCTACTGTAAATGTTTGGTTTGGTTGCTGTCCCATTTTAATGCTGCTATTTGGCATAAAAAACTTTTTTATCTTCAATGCACCTCAGTTCTGACAATGCTAAGGCAAAACACGAAAAACAAACAACAGTACACAAAACACGACATAGAACTTGAAACACTAACCCAGTCAAATACCGGGGTTGATCTCAGGTACTTCAGGAGATGAGCACATCCTGCCCCACATGTGGCACCCGCCGTATTGCTCATGTAAGTACAAACCAAGTGATGTCTAATTCGGTAGGTCACATTCGAGGAAAAGAGGACGGGATTGTGGTAAAATTAATTGGAACATATCCGTCGTCATCTGTGAAACAGAATCAGTATTCCATAACGGTCAACCATCTCTTGATGGCGTCCGTAAGATTTTCGAAGGAATGATTTCAACTTCACCACTTGTAACTCTTGATTCAATAGCTTCCTAAAAGTTGCAAATGTAAGACATGGCAATCCTACAATCCTGTCTTTGGTATAGTTTTTTTTTACCTTGTGAAACCTCATGAAATTTGTGAATCTTCATAAACAAGTCTTAGAGTTTAAAATTCAAAACATCAATTCCATTTTTCAAACGATCATGAAATTTCAGCAGCTTTTTCATAGTCATGAAATTTTATCCCATATTTCAATTTTTTGCCAATAAATGAAAGTTGTTTTGGTGTTTATTTTGCAGTCATCTTTTTTGGACAGAAGCTTCTTAATAATCAAGAGATAGCATTTGGAGCAAGTCTTTGGTATTTTTCTTGTTCATTTTCTGTGTTTTACTGACAATTAAATGGACTAAGTTTTTTAACCATCAACATCACACTTTTACAATGACAAACACCAGTAGCAGGCAACAAACACTTTTTCTGCGGAACACTTAACAATTTTTTTATTTTTAAAATCACATAGACAAAAGTTACTTTCAGGTGCGTATCTAGGATTTTGAAAAAGGGGGTGCCTGGAAAGCCAACGTTTGGAGAAATAAAAAGTCTATGCATTTATCATATATGTAGCTCGATTAAGGGCGGGGGGGGGGGGGGGGGGGGGCTCGGCCCCCTAAATCCGACTTTGACTTTTATTTACTTTGTGAGTCTTGTGTATGATATGATTATTCGGTCAAAAACGCATGTTCATATATACTGTATAAACATTAATTTTCGTGGGGTTAAAATTTCGTGGTTTTGTATCCGAAAGTAAGTTCGTGGGGATTAATTTTCGTGGTTTTTAAGCTGAGAAAAAAAATATGTAAATGTCACTTTATAATTGACAATACTCAATAAAACTAATCTTAACTTTCGCCGTTGAGAAAAATCAATAATGCATTTAATAGTGACAGTGAGCACTAATTTAGTTTTGGGAACTTACATTTTATCATTCATTAATTGTAACAAGAAGTGTAAACATGTCTCTCTTAAAATGGATTAAACGTGAACCATTCTCCCCAGGTGTACCTGTTGAAAAAGTAACTGCAAGATACCAAACCAAACTATGAATTGATCTATCTTGATACGAAACCTCAAAGTTAAGTTAGTTTAACGCAAGTTATTTTTGCAGTTATATTTTTGTCTTCTGTGCATGTATTACATCCAACCCATAAAACTTCATTTTTGTCAATACTAAGACTTAAAGGTAATTCTATTCCTAAGCTTTTCACATCCTTAGATAAAACAGCTTCCCCAGCAGAATTTAATACATGTATACGATGATTCTCACAGTCAGTAACTAGAATCATATTTGTAGAAGTTATTGCCACATCTCCAGGATAAAATTGAACCTGGTTAGAATTTATAGTTTTATAACCATTATATGTCCAATGGAGTTGTCCCCCACGATCTAACATTACTACCCTACCCTCAAATTCTTTGTTTATAATGTCTACAACTACTATTTTATCATTTAAAGTATTGATTCTATGAGGGTAAGTTAACATTTTCTGATTGTCCCTGTCATATTCAATAGTATGTTGTACGTTAACACCATCAGAGTTAATAACAAGAAGTTTTCTGATACTGTCATTTGATGCAGGTAATATTAAATATTCCACCAACCCTACTATTATGTTATTTTCTTTCGTAACATGAAGACCTAAAGTTTTTAATGGAGCAAAAGAAATAAATGTCATAAGTTGCCTGTCTTTGATATATATTTTTAGATCAGATTCTTCAGCTGATACAAGTATTTTTCCATCCATTGTCTTTGCCATATCATACACTTTCATCTTTACTTCTTTCTTTATTGTCATGTGATGGTTTTCAAATTTAACTTTTTGTAGTATTTCACAGTTAAAGCTTCCTATCAATGCAGTTTTGTCACTGCAGAATAGTATACTTGTCACACTTTTGTTAGTACTTTGGCAAGTGTCTATAAGTTCAAATTCTGGAACTGTATAAAGATCACCAAGCATCTGACTTCCTATTTTCAATTGCAGATTGCAAGGAATAAACTTTGCCTTATAAGGTTTAATTTTTTTAATTGAATAATTCGACAATGACTCATATAAGGTTTGGCCTGTAGAAAAAATGTCTACCACTTGATGAGACAGCAGGACTTGGTTTAGATTGTTCTTCCTGGTTTCCAACACATCCGCATTCGTTCTCAGGGAAGACAGTTCCGTTATGATCATATTTTCTAAAGGTTTCCAATTTGCTTCAAGTTCTTGCAAAAGGTTATAAGCATATTTTGAAATAGCCTCTTTCATTTCTTTCTCTGTTTGTAGAATTATTTCCCTTGTTTCTTGGAAATTTTTGTCACCATCTGAAAGTATTTTTTGTAGTTTGTCCTTTTCATTTCTGAGAGACTGGTGGTCAGATTCAAGTTTATGTATCAGTTCCCTCATTCTAGAAATAATGTCATAATAAACCTCATCAATAGCGTTATAGTCATGCATTTTATGAGTCTCAGTTAAACATTTGGAACAAGCAGGCTTATGGCAATCTTTACAGTAGACAATACACTTTCGTTTTGTATGCATTATGCATTCCATGTTGTCAAGGTCAACTTTACGCACTGACATAATAAAATTCTCCGTTCCAAACTCTTTAAGATTTATAATAGCATGTTCCATTGATGCCTTACTTTTACTGTGAATCTTTGAACAGCACAGGTTACATAGAAATAGTTCACAGTTAACACACTTCCACTTAATCTCTGGTGATTCTTCGCAGAACTGACACACAGTTGGAGTCTGTGCTATCCCTACAGACTGAGAAAACGCCATTTTTTGTGTTTGTAATACAACAATAAAATACCTCTACGGTCCAGTTAAAATAAGTTATCAAATTCATATGATTGACTTGCTTCCTGGTTGTAGAATGATTTTTACAGATAAATTAAAACTAGGTTATATAGTACAATAAATCAAATACCATATTTAGATGTTTCAAGAATTATAAAAACAAATAAGTACCAAGTGTACTAGTAAGTAGAACAGACAGTTTAGTAGTGGAACAATGGCTTGGAGTATGGCATGGTATTGGTTGCAAAAATTTGATATTTTTCATTTAAATGCAATATTTTTTATTCAAATGGTATAATTTTTCATTTAAATGGTATATTTTTTCATTTGAATGCAATATTTTTTATTCAAATGGTATAATTTGTCATTCAAATGCAATATTTTTTATTCGATTGGTATAACTTGTCATTTTAATGCAATATTTTTTATTCAATTGGTATGGTGAGTAGTTTTTTTTATTTATATGCAGTAATTGCATTATGGGAAATTCTTTGACGTCACAAGGTCAAATTTGCCACAACGTTTGTGATTGGTCGGTAATTGTTTGGATTTCTTCCCTTTCTTTCTAAACATGAGTGACCAAGAATTAAAAAAACGCGTCAGAATATCACCCCTCTAACTAAATCTGTCGTTCGTGCGAGTTCGTGTACTGGCTGTTAATGCCAATAATGGCTAGGTCGAACAAAAAATGCGAGTGACAAGTAATAATAATTAATTTGACACACAACCTGTTCATGGATAGAAACAGATACCTGCGTGCATGGCAAAAACGCCTCCCATGAAAACCCTTTCTGAAGAAACTCCCCTACAGTCTACACATTGAAATAAAAAAAAATACATAGCTACCCCCCCCCCCCCCCCCCCCCTTTCCCCCCTCTAAGTCCAGATACATGTAATCATGACGTTCTCTGATGCTATATCATTTTTGTCGAGCCTTCGACTTTTGTCGAAAAAGCGAGACATAGCGATCCTACATTCCGTCGGCGTCGGTGTCGTCCGTCGTCGTCGTCCCGGCGTCGTTGTCGTCGGCAGCGTCCACAAATATTCACTCTGTGGTTAAAGTTTTTGAAATTTTAATAACTTTCTTAAACTATTCTGGATTTCTACCAAACTTGGACAGAAGCTTGTTTGTGATCATAAAATAATATTCAAAAGTAAATTTTGTGAAAAAAAAAATCCATTTTTTCCGTATTTTACTTATAAATGGACTTAGTTTTTCTGCCAGGAAACATTACATTAACTCTGTGGTAAAAGTTTTTGAAATTTTAATAACTTTCTTAAACTATCCTGGATTTGTACCAAACTTGGAAAGAAGCTTGATTATGATCATAAGATAGTATCCAGAAGTAAATTTTGTAAAAAAAAAATCCATTTTTTCCGTATTTTACTTATAAATGGACTTAGTTTTTCCGCCAGTTTACATTACATTCACTCTGTGGTTAAAGTTTTTAAAATTTTAACAACTTTCTTAAACTATCCTGGATTGGTACCAAACTTGGACAGAAGCTTGTTTATGATTAAAAGCTAGTATCTAAAAGGAAAATTTTGTTCCATTTTTTCCGTATTTTACTTATAAATGGACTTAGTTTTTCTTCCAGTTAACATTACATAACAGTCTGCAGTTTAAGTTTTTATAACATTTATTAGATTCATAAACTATCCTGGATTTTTACCAAACTTGGACAGAAGCTACTTACAATCAAAAGATAGTATAGAGAGGAGAATTTTTAATAATTTTTTTCCTCAATTTTGTTGAGCCTGTGATTAACAGCAAAAGTAGGCGAGACACTGGGTTCCGCGGAACCCTTACGAATTTTTTACTTTTCTTGCCATGATCCTCAGAGACATTGCAGGAAGGCAAACATAAAAAAGAATAAAAAGCCTTCAAGGACGTTATAATTATTTGGACTAAGTCCCCTCTTTTTTGCTACATGTAGAAAAAAAATCACCTAATTACAACAGCAGAACCAGCTCACAGAGACCCACAAGAAGAGACCTGAGCTGTGATACTCCGGAACTAATTCTTTAATAAAGACAATTCGGGATAAATTGGAACCAGTTACTAACCCATGTTACAACAATAGTCCTATGACATAGGACGTACACTGTATATGAAGGCGTGAACTTCATATTTTGGACTATCTATAATATGTGCTCTCATGTCTTATACCGCATATCATTTTACATTTACTGAGGATTCGTTGCTGAGCTTTTTTTACTGTTCCCATCTCCGAATCCCTTAAAAAGAATTTTTTTTCAAGCCCCACAGTAGTTCAATAACTACTATATGTCTTTGCATAAATAAGTATGCAGGGCATATTTCAAAACATATTTTTTCTTCAGGACTTTTAATTGATTTACTTTTCAATACTGCATTTGGAAAGGGAGGGGAGGGGTATACAAGTAACTTTATTTTGTGACACAGTATATAATATAATTAGATACAAATCTCTAATGATTTGTATGCAACAAATTGTAGGATTGTAAGTTTAGCTATTATCTAGACCCGTACAAAATGTATATAATAAGATACATTTAACAGGGGCGGATCCAGAACCTCGGTGTCTAGGGGGGAGGGGGTTCAGATTTAGATATTTGTATAGAGATGTATATATGCGAGTATTGGCAGTAATGGTTATGGTGTGTGTGTGAGGTGAGGGGGAGGGGTTCAGATCAAAGATCGTTTCTATAATTCTAAATATTTTAGTTTTTACCATTTCACTCTTTTCTTTATCCTTTGATCTCTATTATATTTGTCCTAAACATGCGTGAAATGTTTGCCACTGGACATAAGGCAACCAAAAAACAATCAACGTATTCTTTATATTTCATCATTTCTTTATTATGTTATCTATAGGTTTGGTCCCGCCCCTTATCTATTTTTTGCACATTATTCTCTCTATGTAAACCCAATTCCTGTCCTGATAAATGGTGACTCATGCATAGCATCATATGTGGTTATTAAAACACGAAACATATTCATATTATAATAATTTACTGTATGCTTGGACTTATAGATAGATGTCATTAGTCCAAGATCATGTAATAAAGTAGGTCTTATAAAAATACAATAGCATTGTAATGATGATTATATATAATGTATATATATTCAACAATGCCAATTTTTCGGAAAAAAAGGGTAGGGACAAGGCGTTTTCAAAACATATTAATGGGCGCGTTTTTTTGTTCTTCGGTAGTGAGCCAGAAGAAGTCCATTTCTGTTTTTTTTTGCATTGGGAAGATCTTCTGGCTCTCTTCCACCTATTCTTTTTTGATAGGTTGTTTAGACGGCATAGGCACATAACAAGCATATGGCGTCGTTTAGTCTAAATGACTATTAAATTTATGAATGCAGATATATTAGAATGTGAGCTGTGTTATAAACGTTTTTATGGTATGACAGCCTTAGTAGGACATCCCTGTAGGACGATAAGCTGGATAAATATAAGAACTACACCGTCGGACAATAACAGTTAGGGGACGATTATTTGATATTCTAGGGAAGGGATTTTGATTGATTGGTGTTTAACGCTACTTTGAACACTATTGGGCTATTCCGTGGTGGTCAGTTTAAATTTATAGATGAAGGATGGGGAAGGGAAGAGAGGGTATTATCATTCATTTTAATCTGTCGCTAATCATGCATATTTTTCAGCTCTTACCAGGCAACCATATTCATACATGAAATCCTTCTGTCCCCCACCCCAACAAATAGATAAATATCAAATGGTTTTCCACTTATTTAACACAATTTTAAATTGATTGATTGTCTCAGTGTTGCTAATTTTTAACGCCCAGTGACATATATTTCATGCTTGTTCAGGAAAACACGAATTTAGAAGTCAGGTATATGACCGTATATAATATAAAAGCGAAGAGATGGAATGGGATATGATTGCTAATAAGGCAACTATCCACCGGAGTTCAAATATGAAGTGGATGTAAGCAATTATAGACAATCGTAAGGCCTTCAACAATGACAAAAACCTGATCCTGTAAAGTCGTCTATAAAAGGCCCGATATGAAAAGTGTGAACAATTCAAACGAAAAAACTAATGGCCTAATTATACATAACAAAACAATTTACAAAATATCAAATATGAGTCGAGACATGAACCAACGAAAACCACTAAATTACAGGCTCCTGACCTGGGACAGGCAAATAAAGAATATGGTAGGGTTGATATAAAAACGAAGATATGGTATGCCATGATTGCAAATGAGACAACTCTCCACAAGAGACCATATTACACAGAAACCAACAGCTATAAGTCACCGTACGGCCTTCGACAAAGCCTACACCGCATAGTCAGCTATAAAAGGCCCCGAAATCACAAATGTAAAACAATTCAAACGAGAAAACTAACGGCCGAATTAATGTACAAAAAAAGAACGAAACACAAATATGTATAACACAGCAACAAACGGCAACTACTGAATTACAGGCTCCTGACTTGGGTCAAGCACATACATACAGAATGTGGCAGGGTTAAACATGTTAGCGGGATCCCAATCCTCCCCCTAACCTGGGACAGTGGTTGAACAGTACAACAACATGTCTGTGAGCACTCAACCCATCCCGAAGCTGGGACGGTGGTTAACAGTACAGTAAAAGAACAACCTGCACTTATCAGTTGCAATTAGTCAAAAGATCGGTACGAGACACACAAAAAAAAAATAACATTAAGACAATAGACACAAAGCATCGACATTAGAGTATTTTCAATTACTCAGTGGAAGTTTGCTCAAAGCTAATAACAACTAGTACTGAAATAAATCTTGTTCTCCCAGACTGAAGTATAAATCAGTATACAACGTGCGGCAAAGGATTTATTAAAAAAAGAAAACAGTCTGAGAAACGTCTGGTTTACGTTGTATATAGATATAAGAAGATGTGGTATGAGTGCCAATGAGACAACTCTCCATCCAAGTCATAATTTGTAAACCATTATAGGTCAAAGTACGGTTTTCAACACGGAGCCTTGGCTCACACCGAACAGCAAGCTATAAAGGGCCCCCAAAAATGACTAGTGTAAAACCATTCAAACGGGA